GGGGAGATGTCAGACAGTGTGACATATGACAAAATAATAATAATTTATGAATTATGAAGGGTTCATGAGGGAGGGGGGAGTGGGGATGGAGAGGGAAAAACGAGGAGCAGATATTAAGGACTCAAGAAGAAGGCAAAGGTTTTGAGAATGATGATGGCAACAAATGTACATATGTGATTGACACAATGGATGTATGTATGGATTGTGATAAGAATTGTACGAGCCCTCAATAAAATGATTTAAAAAATAAATTAGAATTTGAGATCCAAACATAAATTATAATTATAATACCTTTTATATTTGCTCATTAAATTACTTTTACTGGATATCTTTATTTAGTTATAAGGCTTTGTGTTATTCTAGTATCTTTACAGACACTTTCAGTCTCTTTCTTGCTTTATATTTCTCCTTAATAATTATTACATAGTACATGGTAATAATTATTCAGGTGAAAAATTATTACCATGCATATTACATGGTTCTAATTATTAAGGCAAAAATTAGAGCAAGGAAGAGATTGGAAGTTTCTGAAAGAATACTACAAAGTAACACAAAACCTTATGACTAAATTATGATATCCAGTGAAAGTAACTTCATAAGCAAATATGAAAGCCAATATTATTATAAATTTTGGTGGCGGAGTGGGTTATGTATTGGGCTGCTACTACAAGTTCACCAGTTTGAAACAACCAGCTGCTCCACATCTTTCTACTCCTGCAAAGAGTTGCAGTCTCAGAAACCCACAAAGGCAATTCTATCGTGTTGTTATGAGTCAGAATCAATTTGGTGGCAATGAGTTGAGGTTTTTTTAGAACATACTATATAATTTACTTATCTGGAATACTCTTTCACTACCTCTTTTACAACATAAGCTTCATGAGGGTAGAGATTTCTATGTTGTATTTTCTGCCGTATTTTCAATGTTTAAACAGTAATTGTCAAATAGTAGGTACTCAATAAACATTTTGTTGAACAAATCATATTGTGAATATTATGGAGCTTATATATAATAAGGGAGTAAGTCTTTCCTTATCAGCAACTATTTAAAAGTAAATGAATGAAAAGCTTTCATCAAAAGTCCAATATTGGTAAAATAAACAAAAAGCAAAAACAAAACCTGATACAGCGTTATGGAAAGAACTCATTTTAAATTCAAAGACATAAGTGAGATTAGATCTGGGCTTTATAGCCAAGAAAAGTATATTACAGCCCACAGAAATGCTGCTTATATTTGTAAATAGAGTCTTACTGAAACACAGTCATAGTCATACATATTGTCTGGGGCTGTTTTCCCATCACAAAGACAGATTTGAGTAGTTGCTTAACATTTATACTTTGGCAAAATCTATATTTACTATATTGTTCATTGCTATAAAATTGATTCTGAGTTAAGAAAAAGTTTGTCGACACTTGTTTTCGACTCAAACAAGCTAACTACTTGTTAGATATTGCTCCCGAATATCTTCCACGAATCTCAAATATCATCTTCAAAAATATTTTTTTCATCTCTAAAAACTATATGTATTAAGGCTAGTTCCAGTCACTGAATGCAAAAATTCAGGAATCAGAAATTTCTTTCCCTTATATCCTAGCCCTGCTATTTTTGCCATTTTGGCCATCTTTCACTTCCTTTACTCAGATTATAATTATCTCCTTACAAGAATATGCCCCTAATCTCTCTTTCTGCAATCCGTCCTTGGCAATGCACCTGATCGTGTACGATTCTACTTTTAAGGAATCATTTAATATCACCAGTAGAAACCATTCTAAACACCTCAACCTGGCAGCAAGTTTATTTAGAACCTGGCTCCTATCTGCCTCCAATCTCATTTCCAGTATATTTTGCAAAAATATCAGGCAATTTAGGGTTTTAAGCTCCAGGTCTACTGGACCATCTCTCTGAACTGTTCTTTCTCTGTTTCTTTCTTTTCCACCTTCAGTCTTACTTCTCCCTATACTTAAGGAGAATACTTACAACTTTGATAATTTCAAAGTGTTCTTTATATACCTAATAATATAACTTTATTAATATGATTGATAATGCAGCACTGTACAGTGATTAAGTATTTAGACTCTAAGCCATGCTGCTTGGTTCAAATTCCAGCTCTGCCACTTACTAGCTGAACAACTTTCATATTGTAATATTTATTATCATCTTCCCATTTCATCAGTTAAATGATAATCAGAAGTTAATCAAGTTCCTCAAGATCACAGAGATAATATGGTAGAGAATTCCAATTCTACTTCAATACATATTCTTTCTTTTTCTTTTTTTTTTTTAGCAAAAGAACTAAAGTCTTAGTTGGGCACATGGATACCTCAAATAAATACACTTTTCTGCCTTTCTTATAGCTAGATATGCCCATGAAATTAAATTATGGCAAACCATATGTAAATAAAAGTGACAAGTGTGATTTCCAGATGAGGTCCTTAATGGGTATGTGTGTACCTTCCACTTCTTTTCCTTAGATATTTTTCAATAGATATTTCATGAAGATGAAGTAAGCACTGAAGGGATGGGAGAGCATCAGAAAGACATTATATAATCCCTTCTACCATCTAGTCAACTTCCCATGACTAATTTATGATGGAAAAGTAAACACCTCTTGCATTAGAGCACTGTATTTTGGGGTCTCAGCAGACTAACATATAAGGGGATACCCCCCACAAAAATGGGAAAAAAGATCCACTGGGCCGAGCTTTCATAGTACACATTTTTCCTGCTAGGTGAGCATCGAGCAACTTGCTCTGAGTTAGTGCATCCAGGGGTGTGCCCTGAGAAGGTTCTCTCTGGTCACAGTGAATTTTTTCATGAAAGGAGTTTCTCTCAATGCTCATTCTTTGTGATGGCTGATTTTAGGGAACAGGGTGCGGCTGTGAAATTTTGTTTCATGCTCAGGAAAAATGCCACAGAAACTATTGTGATGTTGAATACAGCTTACAAGGACAGCACTATGGGAAAAATTCAAGTGTACATGTGGTTTCCTTATTCTGTGAAATGCCGATGGATGACAAACCTCGCTCTGGACATCCATCAACTTACCGAAGGGACAAAAATGTCAACTCATAGTATGTTTGGAGTTTGTTTCACCAGGTGAAACTGTTAATCAAGCTTTCTAATTAGATATTCTGAAAAGACTGCATAACAGTGTGGGACAAAAAAGGCCTGATTTGTGGCAGATGGGGGACTGTTTTTGCCACGACAATGCACCTGCTCACACAGCCATCTCAGTGCATCAATTTTTGGCAAAGAACAGTATACCTCTCCTTCCCCATGCACCTTACTAACTTGACCTCACTCCATGCAACTTATATTTGTTTCTGTGAATGAAGAGGGACATAAAAAGGACAGCAATTTGGAGATGTAGATGCGGTCAAGAAAAAAAAAAGAAATGTGGGAGGTTCTGTCAGCCATTTAAACAGATAAGTTTGAAAAGTGTTTCCAAGAATGGAATCGCATATTTGACAAATATATTAATTGTAAAGGAGAGTACACTGAAGGTAGCAAGGTTTTTTTGTTAAAAAAAATTAAATACATAGTTTTCAAAAAAAATTCGGTTTCTTTTGGGTATCACCCTTGTATACCTTATCTAATACAGGAGTTGAATTAGAATATTACCTAGGTTTTTTATTATTAGGCACCCTCTGCAGAGAAGTTTTTGCTGAATTATAGTTTGCTATGTTGTCACTAGTAAGCAGGAAGCCAAATGTAGAGCCATATATAGCAACTGTTTGAACCCAAAACCGAAACTCACTTCCATCAAGTCAATTCCAATCCATAGTGACCCCATAGGGCAAGGTAGACCTGTCCCTGTGGGTTTCTGAGACTGCCACTTATATGGAATTGGAGAGCTCCATAGTTCTCCTACTGAATGGCTGACCTTGCAGTTAGCAGTCTATTGCATAGTTACTTCACCATCAGGGCCCTTAGCAAATATGTAGACTTACTAATAAGTATTTCTTAACCCTTACCTCTTTCCTAGGTTCATTACTGGTTCTACTCTTGTTTTTCTCTTTTTCATTTGAAATACCTTTAGTATTCTACTTGAATTTTTATATACCATAGCTCCTGCTTATAGCCATCAATGCTGTTAAGTTGGTTCTGACTTATAAAAACTCTAAAAGACAGAGTGGAACTCCATAGGGTTTCCAAGGCTTTGAATCTTTGCTGAAGTAGACTGCCTCTTATTTCTTACACAGAATGGCTGGAGGTCTCAAACAGCCTAACTTTCCATTAGCCATCCAATGCATCCACTGTGCCACTAGAGTTCCATGCCATTGCCAGTCACTCTAAATTCTTTTGGATCGACATGAGGTATTAAGAAGTATAAGTATTATTTTCTTTATGGTTCCATTGTTCATACAAATACATTTATAGTTATCATTTTCCTTTACTTGCATGTCTATCTTTATAGTATATTGTTGACTCCTTAAGGCACAAACAGCAACTTTCTTTTGGATCAAGATGAGGTTTAAATAAGCATAAGAATTGCTTTCTAACAGTTTCATTATCCATACCAATGCTTTTATAGTTATTTTCCTTTGTTTACATGCCTATCTCTAAATTACACAGTAACTTTTTCTTCTATATCTCAAGTATCTAGCATGTTACCTGATAATTAAATTGCTACATACTAAATTAATATTTAGTGAATTGATGAATTTTAGAGTCAGAATTGCCATTTAGTGTTATTATACCATAATGGGGTTTCCTTCCATTATCAACTTGAACCATCTAGGGGAGCAAAGTCCTAAAAGGTAGCTGGGGGGAAGTGCCATGGTTAGAGGAGGGGTAGTGAGGACGGGAAACTCATACCTTGTCAAAGTGCTCAATTAAGATTTCCACCACAATGTTCTGGAATTTGATGTTCATCATGGCAGCCACAGTGTCCTCTTGAGCTCTCATCAGGGTTGGTCCAAAGATCACCCCCATATTGGAAGGAGTCATAAGATTTTCTTTGCTGTGTTCACACACACTGGCAAAATAAGAAAAAAAATTAACAAGGTATGTCCCCAAATCCCCTTGTGGCCAAAACTATTATGTCCTGAATAGAGATAAGAGAAACTAAAAAGCAGATAGAGAGAAGAGGCTTAAAGTATAGAAAAAGTAAACAAAAGGAAACGACTAGCAAATAACAAAAGACAGTATATGATTAGGAGCCAAATCGAGATCAATAGATAACTATTGGAGTTCAGGAATGAGAGCAGTGCTGGAGTCTAAGAGTGTTTGGAAAAGCAGGAGGGAAACAAGAATAGAGGATAGAGGAACAGAATGTATAAAACATTATAATGAAAAGCAAAGCATATGAAGAGAATGCTGACCAGGCTCAGCAGTCAGGAATCTTCTCCAGTTAGAAAAGCATGCATCTCTTTAAAAAGAGGTAAATAAATGTGATTCTTAAAAGCTGCCCTTTATCATCAACTTAATTTTAAAGACAGATAAGATACATAAAAAATAGAGGCCAAAGAATAGAAAGGGATTTATTTCCCTGAAGGTACACAATCAAGTAACTAAAGAGTAGGGACTACAATCCAATATATGCTGATTTCTAGGTGATGCTCCTCGCTTAAAATCCCTTACTTGTTTTCCCATCACTTACAGGACTAATTCAACTCTCTTCAAGGCAGGAATTAAGGTCCTCTGTGACTTTAACCTTATTTTTACTTCCTATGCACAACAGTAGTCAAGAAATAAAATGATGTATTGCATTGGGTAAATCTGTTGCACAAAACTCTTTATGAGTTGAAGAGCAACAATATCAGTTTCAGGACAAAGGTGTTTCTGAGTTAAGCCAAGTTATTTTCAATTGTCTTATATGTATGTGAAAGTTGGACACTGAATAAGGAAGATCAAAGAAGCACTGATGCATTAGAATTATGGTGCTCACAAAGAATAGTGAAAGTATACTGGGCTGCAAAAATGACAATTAAATCTGTCTTTGACTAAGTACAACCATAATGCACCTTAGAAGCGAAAATGGTGACACTCCTGCATCTCATACTTTGGACATGTCATCAGGAGAGAGAAATGCCTGGAAAAGGACATTATGTTTGGTAAAATAGAAGGGAAGCAAAAAAAAAAAAAAAGAGTAAGACTCTCAATGAGATAGACTGATATAGTGGCTGCAACAATGATCTCAAACATATGAACAATTGTGAGGATGGTGCAGGACTGGGTATTGTTTCATTCTGTTGAACATAGGATTACTGTAAGTCAGAACTGATTCTAAGGTACTTCATAAGAACAACATGCACAACTTGGATTCTGAAGCTTATCTAGGTTTGAATCCAAACACTGTCACTTACTAGCTGTGCAGAAGAGAATGCAAATGACGTAATCTGTCTGGATTTCAGTTTCCCCACTTTCAAAATAAAGATAAAAATGTATGCATCTTAGACAGTTGTTGAATAAATAGAACTAAATTTCTTTAGCATGGTACTTGGCACTCTGAATGCATTTCACTAGAAGTACCTGTTTTTATTATTACCTCTACAGGAGGCTTCATTCCCGGCACTGCTGATCTCTGGTACTCTTTCTACGTAAACTGCACAGACAGAGATATTCTGAGTACATCTCATTGTTTCAGACTTCTATGTCTTTGCTAATGCCATTATTTATGCTTAGAATGCTCCCCTCCCCTACATTTAGATAATGCTGAAGTCTCACTTTAGGGGGTAACTTTTTCACCTCTCAACAACGACAGGCCACTATCCTCATCTCATCATGAATAACACCATTGGAAATCAGAGTATGTTGAAATTTTCTGTTTACTTCCTGTGTCTCTTACTAGCAGAGGAGGATGATCCAATAAGGAAGGTAAGCATGGGCTTACTTACTTACTAAACTCCAATGAAGAGTTTCATAAGTTTTCACCACATAATGTGATTAAGCCCATGTGAAATTGTTCACTACAGATTTGTGAGGAAGAACAAATAAGCCCATACTTACATTGCTTACTGTGTGCTTCACCTTTGTTAAGGACTGTAGATTTGAAAATAGGCTTTGCAGAAAGAGAGGTACCAGTTATACTTAGAAGCAGAATATTTGATATGAAAGATTGTGAAATTATCCACAATAGCTAAGGAAGTTCAAGTAAGCTCATGTTTCTCTTGTCTACTGGGTAATTCCACATTTATTACGTGGTAAACAGCTCCCAAGTGTGCCTGAAAGGCACGTGGAAGTTACTAATTACTTTTAATGAAAGTGAGCTTGGCTAGTGTTCTTTCAATCAGTACTGGAAGCAGCCAAAAGAAAGGTATAGTCAGTCCTTTAGACTGTTGGCTCTATGAGGATGTGGAGATTAGGACACGGAACAGACCAGAAGTTAAACTCAAACATTAATTTTCCAAAGGCTAGGTGCCATTCGGATGGTTAAAATCATTCATACACCTTCATTCTTGATGACCTGGTGGTGGGTACTTTCAGTATTTTAAATACCTCTGTAATTAACACTTAGCATTACAGTCAGATTTTTTTCTTCCTGACATTAAACTGAAAGCACCATTCTTCTGCCACCATATGATCCAAAGGGGTTTAAACTCAATTAACAAGAGCAGCAATACTTTTGGAAAAACAGCCTCTTGCATAAATAACTACTTTGAAAGGAAATAATGTTTGTCTAATGACCCATCATCTAATTGAAGTGTCACAATTCTGTGAGGTGGATTATTTCAATTTCTGAAGTCTAGACTCAGAGGATAAACCTCTGTCCTATGCGTGATGAGAAAATCATGGGAGAAAATGGATTATACGAAGGAAGAATGTAGCGCCGGGATTGGAGGAAAGCTTAGTAACAACTTGCAATATGCAGATGACACAACCTTGCTTGCTGAAAGAGAGAAAGACTTGAAGCACTTGCTGATGAACATCCAGGACTGCAACGTTCAGTATGGATTATGACTCAATGTAAAGAAGACCAAAATTCTAACAACTGGACCAATAGGGGACACCATAATAAATGGAGAAAAGTTTGAACTAGTCAAGAATTTTGTCTTGCCTAGATCCACAATTCTCACAGAAGCAGCAGTCAAGAGATCAAAAGACTAGTTGCATTAGGTAAATCTGCTGCACAAGATCTCTTTAGTGTATTGAAAAGCAAGAATGTTACTTCGAGGACTAAGGTATGTCTCACCAAGGCCATGGTGTTTTCACTTGTCTTTTATTGTATGTGTAAGTTGGACACGGAATAAGGAAAAATGAAGAAAAATCCATGCATTTGAATTGTGGTGCTGGAGAATGTTGAAAGTACCAGGGACTACAAAGGAGAAACCAATCTCTCTTGGAAGAAGTAATGTTAGAGTGCTCCTTAGAGGCAAGGATGGCAAATCTTCATCTCACATACTTTGTACATACTTTCAGGCTCTCCAGAGACCAGTCCTTGCAGAAGGTCATAATTTTGGTAAAGTAGAGGGGTATCAAAGTAGGGGACAACCCTCAAGGAGATAGATTGACACGATTGCTGTAAACATGGGCTCAATCAGGAAAAAATTGTGAGAATGGCGAAGGGTAGTGTTTGTTTCTGTTTGCATTATGTCGCTATGAGTTAAAACAAACTCAATGACACCTAACAACAACAATATGCTAAATAAGTTTTATAACTACAGCATGAGAGGTTAGACTGGCTAATATCAAGGAATACTTTGATTTTCTGAGAGTGACAGGAGGCCACTCCTGCTAGACAGGGCATCTGTTTCCATTCACCAAAGTGGTTGACCATCGACCTTACTTCAACAAGCAGGTTGGTCCTCCAAAACCCTAGAACAAAGGGGACCAAAGGCAGGTCACAGAATTAGAAAAGCAAATAGTTATAAGATATTCTCATCTATTGTTAGTGAGATTTCAATATAGTCCATGAGAATAGGGATATGATAATATCTAACAAAGCTTCCTAATCAATTGCCATTTGATGCAGCAATCCTACTTTTAGTTTGTCATTGCAGCATAATTTATAATAGAAAAAGATGGGAAACTCCAATATATTTAGAATGCATAATTATGCGGTACTAAAAAAGAAAGAAAAAGATCTCCATGACTTTTGATTTTGTGATGCTTTTCAATTATGTACTGTTGACCCTTGAACAATGTAGAGTTGGGGTGCCAACCTCCTATACAGTTAGAAATCCACATATAATTTACAGTTGAAGTGTTTGAAATGTGTGGGCCACTTAAGTGTGGACTTTTTTTTTGCTGTGGCTTATTGGGTGAGCTCAAATGTGAATATTAGCTTAAAATGCTGTGTGATTCTTAAAACACCTCTATGTGAACATTTACTTTCTGGAGATGATTAGCATTATATAGCATTATAAGCGATATCCACAACATTTGAACTCACCACAATAGCAAAATAAATCAGTGTAAGTGGGCCTTAGCAGTTCAAACCTATATTGTTCAAGGGTACTACAAATTTCTAAGACAAAAAAGGAAAATGAGCTGATTCCGGGAACCCAAGAGGCAAGCGAATTTTGGGAATGATGAGGGCAACAAATGTATAGATGTGCTCTACACAATAGATCTATGTATTGTGATGAATTTTATGAGCCCCAATAAATTGATTTAAAAAAATAATAATAAAAAAGAAAAAGATAAAATAAAATAAACCCTTTAATCATGAAAAAAAAAAGAAATGCAAAGTATAAGATGGGGTATATAAGATACAGGTAGAAAACCTACTTAAATTAGAAATAAGGGGAAAATAAGAATCTATATGACTATTCACACATATTTTCTTATTCTTGTCAATTGAAACACTAAGCCAAAAACTAAATTTACTACCATTGAATCTATTATGATTCACATCAACCGAATAAAATATGATAGAACTACTGCTGTGAGTTTCTGAGGCTGTAAAGTTTTATAGGAGGGAGGAGAAAGCCTCATTTTACTCATGTAAAGAAATTTAAAAAAATTAAATTAAAAAAAAAAGAAATTAAAAAATCATAGTCACAATAAACATCTTTAAAGTAATGAAAATTATTT